CTCTGGGCCAGGCCCCTCCTCCCCGTGGATTCCCGTGATGCCTCCAGCAGTCACCAGAGTGTCTCAGGTGACGTAACACAAGCTGGCATCCCTCTGGGAGTCCCCCGGACGCCGCAGGCTTGCCCAGCACCAGGCCTCCCGAGCACTGCCAGGACTTAGAGGCTGAATCACCGTCCTGCAAGTGTGGCCCGTGCCTGCTCCTCCCTAGAGCCCGGGAGGTGGCCGAGGCCACAGCTGGACTTCCTAAATCCAGGGGTCTTTGCGTACTTGGCTGAGAAATAAGAGATGGTGTGCATCTGGGCTCCTTCTGGGAGGACGACTCGGCAGTTTCAGGGGAGGAGTGTAGCATTCTGAGCAGGTCCAGCCTCATTGCTAAGGCGCGGAGCTGGCCGAAGTTCCTCCCCAAGGGTGTTGTGGGGCTTCCTAATTTCCTCACTTTTCATTTTCTCGTCTGCACATTGCTGCAGAGCCTTGAGAGACAGCACCACATCCAGCTGAGAGATCCCGGGACATCCCTGCTGCTGCCCAGGCAGCGTTGTGAGGAGAGCTTGGCTTGAAAAGTGGCCCACGGCAGGCGCAGGCACAGCCCCGGCAGAGTTCCTCACAGGGCGGGGCCAGGTGGGAACAGACCCCCTCGGGAGACCGGATGGGACGAGCCCCTCCCCTTCCCTCACTGCTTACCTGCACGCCAGGATTCCGAGAGGGCGCGTTCAAAACGCTCTCCAGTCACCTTTACAGTGTCGTATTGGCATTGACAAGATTCAAACATCAGGTAGCAGAAGCAGTGCCCGTGCAGCCCATCCCACTGTGTCATCCACACAGACTTCTGTGCACGCATTGTCAACAAAGTTTGTGCCCAGATTCGGAGGAGGCATCAAAGGCTCCCTGTGGCCGGCCGACCGTGAGCTCCGAAGAACCAGGTTCAATTCCCGGTCTTTGCTCTTTCCTCCATGCTGAGCACCTCGGAGGCAGGTTTGCACTGACTCCCTGCATCCCTGTCATGCCTCGGGCTCTGTCTGTGAGGCTCAGAGGACAGGAGCATGTGGTGCTCTCAGGGCGGGAGGCTCAGGACCCAGGCGGGGTCCTCACCTTCTCCGTCCTCCTCCTTTTCCTCCTGCTGCCCCCCGGGGCGAGCATCCAAGAGGAGGACCGCAACTCTGGGAAGTCTGGAGGCCTCTGTGCTCCCCTGTGAGGCTGAGTCAGGGAGAGTCACAAGGACGTCCTCTCACCCCAGGCGCTTGAGAGAGCAGAGTCCGGGGGGGGGGGCAGCGGAAGTGGAAAATCCACAGAATGAAGGATGGGATTTGGACCTTGGCAGGGACGAGCACGTCGCTGAGGTCTCAGAGGAAAGGCCCGGGCCCTGGTGTCACCCACTGCAGCAGCCACGTTGGAAAGGAGGGCAGCAGACGTGGAGCAAGATGTGGGTGGGTTTCAGGCCTGCACTGGTTCATCTACTCCTTCCCTTAATTCACACTTTTTTTGGCCGCTGCGAATGTAAAAATGAGCTTTTATGAGTAGCAGACCCCGTCCCTGAGGTTCACAGTCTAGCACTCGAGTCAGCAATGGGAGCAGAATGACAAGATCTGCACTGGGGACACTTCTGAGGGTCCTCTGGACGCGGAGTCCGCCACGCGGTGGGTCGGGGACGGGGAGGCCCAGGTTGTCCTTCCCCATCCTGGGTCCCCTCAGCAGAGGAGGCGGGGACCTGGAGGTGCAGGGCGGCTACGTGGACCAGGACAGATAGCGAGATTTGTCTTGGTGCGGCGGGGATGAGCTGAAACTCAGCTGCGGTGCTTCTCAAGACTGCGTCTTTGCTCTCCGCGTCCTCAGACGTTGACTTAAAACAGAGCTAAGTAGATCAGTGTCTACCTTAAGAAACATTTCCCAGGACAGCCTTCCGGGCCACCGCAGAGCCAGACCGGGTCCCTGGGGTCGCTGGAGCCCTCCGGGCTGGAGGGAGCCGGAGAGGAGGCCCACAAGGAGGCCCAACTTCCCATCTCTGAGTCTCTCCCAGCAGAGACCCCAGCTGGACAGGCTGGCAAATGCCAGCGCTGAGCAGAAAATGCAGCCTGGTCACACGTGCACGGGTACAGAGCAAGATAAAGGATCGCCGTAAGGGATGAGCGAGGCGCAGCTCTCGCAAGGGAGAAGGGGACTAAGCGATGCAGGATGAGGGGCAGGGGAGGGCACCGGGACTGAGGGAGATTTCAGATGTGTCAGGAGCATGTGCTGAACGCTGCGGTGGGACTGGACATTGATGCTGCACACACGAACTAATAATAATAATAACAAGGAAAGGGGTTCTGGAGCTGGAGAGAGGGAGGTGGGCAGGGAGAGGAAGGGGATAAAAAGAATCAAGACATACTCAGTGCATAACCCACTCCCTGCGACGAATGTGAACTTCACGGGCTCCAAAGAGGTTATAACACAAATTTTTTTAAATCTAGAGGGGTGTGACGCAGCTCAGTGGAAGGGCACTTGTTTAATTTGCCGACCCTGGGTTCAGTCCGGAGGGTACCTAAGAAGAAAACAAAAACAAGAACTCAGCGGCCTCCCGGTCCCCGGGCTGCAGGCTCAGGACCGCACCCGGGCCGTGTGGGAACCGCGCGGGGAGCCCAGCGCCG